AAGCCAAAGGCCTTGGGGCCAGCTTTGGGCTTCAGGTTTACAGGCTCTGTACCCTAAACCCTAAACCCTAAACCCTAAACCCTAAACCCTAAACCCTAAACCCTAAACCCTAAACCCTAAACGTTTGTAGGGCTAAGGGCCTCTGAGACCCAAAACAAGACCCTGAGTAAGAACAGATTGTATGGTGGGATTCCTTTTAAAAGAGGGCCTCAAGAAGCATCCAAATTGTAGGGCCCCAAAAACCAGACGCTGCACCCACCGAAGGCTATGAAACTGAATGTGCGCTTGGTGCAGAAGTGTTTCGCCCAGGCCCGGGTGTTGAGTTTAGTAGGGGTTTGGGGCTTGCGTGGCCGGAAGATACAGGTTTAGGGGCTGGGATTCAGGGTTGAGGTTTATAAATGTTGGTTAAGATTCGAGGAAAGGCGCGTCGCATGGGGACTCTAAACCCCTCAGCCCATGTGCACCTGAATCCGCCCCCCCCCCCCCCCCCCCCCCCCCCCTCCCCCTCCCCCCCCTCCCCCCCCTCCCCCCCCTCCCCCCCTCCCCCCCCCCCCCCCCCCCCCCTCCCCCCCCTCCCCCCCCTCCCCCCCCTCCCCCCCCCCCCCCTCCCCCCCCCCCCCCCCTCCCCCCCTCCCCCCCCTCCCCCCCCCCCGCTGTCGCTCCATAGAAAGCGGCCCACACTTCCATGTCGCTCCACGGAAAGAGGGGCACAGCAAGAAATAGCGGGAATGTGAGTGTATCCGGGCCCTTGCCTTCCTTTTTTCATAGTAGTTTCCCGCCACAATATTGCTGGGATTCAGACGGAGTTCCCAAGATAAAGCCCAAAGTTTCAATTCAGCCCCCCATTTTTCGGACATCTCGGACCGCTTGTAGGTGTTCCTTCTCGCCTGCCCGGGCGTACTTCTGGGCACTGGGATGGTTGCACTGGTGGCAAGGCATGGGCCTGATCTGGGTTTAGGCTTGGGGGTTTGGGGGTTAGGGTTCGGGATTCAGAACTCAAGGATTCAAGCGCGAAGGGTAGCAGGGGTTGAGTTTATGTTACACACGCTTGGCTGTCTCGGCTGGCATTTAACATCCCGGCTTTGACCAAGTGGATCGCATCCATGAGCTCCGTACGACTGTTCAAGTTCCACCAACGCCCATATAATACTACTGTAATAGGTGCAGCAACGGCACTGTGTTCCCAACACCCGAAACCTCTTTGGCCACAGCCTACAGCGACTGAGTGCCAGCAGCTTTTAGAGCCCAAGCCCCCTTTGCTTCCAGCTTTGGGGTGAAGGCGTTGATGATGTCTGCTACCGGCGCATGGTAGTTTGATCCTCACCCGTGCAAAGACTGGAAAGGTTTCAGGTGGATCGGGTTGGGCTTTCATAGGGAAGGAGCATCCCCAGGCCACAGCCATGGACAGGCTACACCTCAAGACAAAACAACCCCGAAACTGTAAACAATGCCGACTCTTGTACATTCGGCTCAACACTTGGACTTGTAAAAGACCTAGTCCGTCCTCAAGACCCATAGATGTCTGAAATCGCATCGGCGCTGCCCAGGCATTTGCTGCCCTATGGATGGTCCTGGAGCGTGGCCCTGACTTTCGGAGCGGCGACTCGGCTAGTTGAGGAGTAGTTTGGGGCTCAAGTTGATAGCCTCAACAAGAATGACACCACAATTTCCAGAACTGCTCATCTTACTTAGGCTTGTCGCTGTGCCGGAGTCTAGGAGATATCCTGGCCCAGAACTTCTGGGCTTAGGATTTTTTTCAGATAGGGCTTGGGGTACCCAATCTTCCGATCGCGAGTTCGGCTCATGGTGTCTATTTCAGTCTCCCACGTCTCTTGAATAAGAGGCATGCTGTTGAAAGGCATGGTTGCTTCACGAACGCAGCAAAGCTCGAATCTTCATTCAGCAAGCCGAGCAGCAAGCGCAAGCCTCTGAACTCCTAACTCCAAAAATTTGAAGCCACCAGCCCAGACACACCTCGTAAAGCCACAGTCCCTCAACCTCGAGAAGGCCTTGATCCCCTGCGCGACCGAGGTGCTGTCCGCCACCGACCCCGTTGCTGTCGTCGCCTTGTTCAACACGCTTGGGGTCTCCCCCCGTCTGACCATGCCCCCTGGCGCTCAAGACCCTGGCTCTGGATACCTTTTTGAGAGCGTGATTCAGGATGGCACCCTAGGCTCGGAAGCCTGAAGCATTCCCAACACCTCTTAAGCCCTTGGAGCGGCGACTTGTTTGGTTTTGCATGTTTTGGCAGGGCCAAAACTTTTTCGGTTCCGCTTACTGCTTGGTTTCTGCCTGAGGCTCTTACTTACAGATTGTGCTTGGTAGCTACTGGTAGGTGAGGGAAATTTCCTTGGCTACAAGAATGTTGGACCTCTTGAATCTTGGTGTCATTCTTTGATCCACATAATGGCCTGGGCCAGCTCTGCTAGAGGGGCATGGCTGGAGTCCCCGGTCGAGTAGCAGTAGCAGCAGCAGCAGCAGGAGGAGAAGGAGGAGGAGCAGTAGAGCAGTAGAGCAGTAGAGCAGTAGAGCAGTAGAGCAGTAGAGCAGTAGAGCAGTAGAGTAGCAGGAGGAGGAGAAGGAACAGTCGAGCAGTAGAGCGGTTGAGCAGTCGAGTAGCGGAGCAGCAGAGGAGGGGAGCAGGGGAGCAGTGGACCAGTGGAGCAGTGGAGCAGTGTAGCAGTGTAGCAGTGGCAGCAGCAGTAGCAGGTAGCTGGTAGCAGTAGCAGTAGGCAGCAGCAGTAGTAGCTAGCAATACTAGTAGTTGTGGTTGCTACTGTTGCTTGTTCTTATCGTCGTTGCCGTAGTAATCGTACTAGTCGTGGCGGTGGTGGTGGTGGTGGTGATGGTAGTAGTAGCACAGGTTGTTGAAACATCATTGCTTCATGCCGCTGCCCATTGGCTCAGCATTGTCTGTGCGACAGCCTCGCCCTGTAGGAGACGATTTCGAGGTGGTTCGCATTCGGATCTGTAGATGACCCGAAGAGTTTTCCTATTGTGCGAAAGTGGGAAGTCTTGTAGGAGGCGGGAGAATTTAGGGATGAACATCGCCACATGCGGTGCCCCAAATCCGGACTGTTGGAGGGCTGCATCCCAGGAACTACCCTAAACCCTAAACCCTAAACCCTAAACCCTGAGTATATAGCTTTGGTACGTCCAGGCTCACCTCGAAATCCCAGTCCGGGCCGCTAAAAGCGGCCCGGTGAGCCGAATTTTCGGCAGAGGTGCCCAGCATTGCCAGCAAGACCGCGCTCATAAGCGGAATCCAAGGATCTAGGTTCAAGCTTCAGGGTTTTGGGGCTTCAGAGTTTAGGGTCTATAGTAAGACCAAACACCATTTTGGCTTCAGGAACAGATTGCCAGGCCTTTTGCCCTAGACTCAGACCCTCATGCATTCCTGCTCCCAGTCTGTGTAAGGCGTGTGCAAGGTATCAAAGGGCACTCGTAGGTGCTCAAGCGAATCGTGCGTATCCCGCTAGTCTTTGGCACCGAGGGGGGGGGGGGCGGGAGGGGGGGGGGGGGGGGGGGGGGGGGGGAGGGGGGGGGGGGGGGGAGGGGGGGAGGGGGGGAGGGGGGGAGGGAGGGGGGGGAGGGGGGGGGGGGGGGGGAGGGAGGGGGGGGGGAGGGGGGGGGGGGGGGGGGGGGGAGGGGGGGGGGGGGAGGGGGGGGGGGGGGGCGTGGGGCGTGGCAGGTTGAGGTGTGCTGATTTCAATCTTTCGTTTCATCATTCATCTTGAGGCACAAATCGGGCCATCGTTGCGGCATAAGAGCTAAGTCGCAGTTTTGCAGTCCTAGTTGCCCCGGGTTCTGGAGACAGGCGTCTCTTTTCGGCTAGCCTTCGTTGTTGGACTCTGTGTCAAGAAGGCATTCTTCCTTGCTACGCTACATGGGAGTGAAAGCCTCTTCCAGCTGCTTGTGGTATCTTGGCTGTACCTCGTCTACGTCTGTAAGCTGAGCATCGGCGAGGAATTGATAACACAGGTGTGCTCTCCGGAGAATTTTCGAATCTGAAGCAGCCTTGCTGGTGAGTGCCTGTTCGCCCTCCGCTCTGCAGGGCCTCCGCTTGCCCTAAACCCTCAACTCGAGGACGAATATAAGGGCTCTTCAACAGCCAGCAGACCCGCAAATAGGAATTGCTGAGATTATTACGGGCTTGGTAGGGTTGCACACTTATAGCAAGGTGCATGCCATTCGACTTTCTGAGCAGAAGTGCTGTAGTCAGGATACGATCGGGGCTTGTGCATATGAACAGCGACCAACAAAAACCTTCGTGTCTCTATGACTTGCTAGAGGTAGGTGCGTACGTGTGTATGTCATGAAGTCATGAAGGCAGTGTCGGGGTAGTTGTGGCAGCCTTTGTTTCTTTTCCTTCTTTCCCGATCAATTGACAAGCGTTGGCCCTCCTTAGAGCTTGTCGTTGGGATGCACGCGCTGGATACCTGGAATGCTGATTACGTGAAGGACGGGGTTCATGGCTTTGCTGTAATAAAGCTGGTCTGATTGCAGTCAAGTCCACGCCGTGCTTGGATCACTTGGGCCTTTGTCTTGCACACGATGCTCATTGCTAGTCACGTTGCTTCCTGCGATGCATGCGTATCATGATCAGGACACATGCACAGCAGCCCCCGTAAGTATTCCAGGGCGCTTGGTCGCCCACCTCGCCTGTTGTTAGCTGTTCAGAATGTTGGCAGGGTATCTGGTGGGGGGCCTGCCTGTAAAGAGAAACGTATCTCAGGTTGCAGGCCCGATGTTGGAGCATGTTCGACAAACGCTTTCGTCGCACGCGGACAAGCCTCGAGATTTCCTTCTTACGCTGCAGGTCAGGTTTATGTCATTGGGGGACACTTGACTAAAGCCTCCACATTGCACGCCTTCCTGCAGGATCCCACCGATGTTGATGTCGACAAGCGCTGCGAGGACACCCTGCACCCCCCTAAACCCTAAACCCTAAACCCTAAACCAATGAACTCTATAGAGCCCCTAAACTCCCACTGACTCCCATGCTGCCCATGCTTCCAAAGAACGGAGCTCTACAAATCCCCTCCCGGAGCTCCCCAAGACCTACACCACCTAAAACTCCTCAGCCAGCCGAAGCTTGCAAGCCCCCAAAGGCTTTAGGGTTTAGGGTTTAGGGTTTAGGGTTTAGGGTTTAGGGTTTAGGGTTTAGGGTTTAGGGTTTAGGGTTTAGGGTTTAGGGAACCCCAAGCAGGATACCCTTCGCCGAGTCCTCGAAGGCAACTTCTCCCGCACCCTGCAGGCGCTTCGGCTGCGCTATTGTGCTTGGAGGTTCATGGTACTTACTAACCACTTATAACTGGGCTTAGAACCCTACTTATAACTGGGATAACCCCTATAAGGCCTTTTAGGCGTATTATAAGTAGGGTTATAAGTACAGTTATAATTGGTTAGTAAGTACCGTGAACCTTTAAGTGGGCTTAGAGGGGTTTGGAGGGTCAGCTGCATCCGGCTGAGTTCGGGCCAAGGGCCTATAGGATCGAGGGTTTAGGGGTTTAGTGTTAGGAACCCTTGGACCTACTCTGCTTGATCTTGAGGTTGTATAAGATCCTGTTCGTGAAGTTTCTTGTTGAAAGACTCCAAGCGGGTCCCAAGGCATTGCATCTTGCCATAATAACAGCTCCAATGGCCTGTGCCCGCACTGCAGAGGCCGTGCATGAGCTGTCTGTGCAGATGAGAGCTGCGGCCTTAGCTTAGAGTGTTCCAGGATTCGCTATTTCGCTCTAGAACCGCTTGAAAAGGCCCTTTTTAGGGTTGGTTGCGGGAGTTCTATGCCCTAATCGCCCATCCTTCTAATGACAGATGGGGGGTCAACACTGACAAGGTCTGTTCATGAGTTGGGCGTCCGGCTCGTGTCTTAACGCTCGTACGTTGGTTTGATACTGTTCCTAGATCTTAGGTAAAGTTGCGTCTCCACCCCCAAAGCTGTCTGCATGGTGGGGCTAAGGAGGGTCTAAAACACACGGGGCCCCGCGACGCGTTTGCTTTAGTGTCTGGCCATGGTTTTGGTACAGATTGGCGGGCACATTGCTAGTCAGAACAGCATGCCAAGGAAAGACAGAGACAGTCCGTATTGCGGGAGCGGGAGAGAAGCAATGTTGCGATGCTCTCATCTAAGGGGCAGAATCTAGGGGTCGGAAAGAATGACTAACAATCTTCCCTTATGGCCCCTGTATCATGAAAGCGCTATGCCTATTATTGAGGCCCCCATAGTCTCTTATTTCAGAAGACATAAGCTCCCACCCTTTAAAAGAAGTACGAGTATCAAGGCAAGACTTAGGGCTAACGGGCTCGAAGGTCCTGTACCTGTGACGGTTGCCACGGTCGCTCTCTGTGCATCCGGTTACGGAGCCACGTGCTTCAAGGATGTGAGCGAAGTCCCCAAAGCCCTCTCGAAAACCAAGCCCCTGACGGAACTTCCGTACTTCCCCACAAATCCTAGGTTCAGGCAATGAAAACTCCAAAGAAGAAGAATAAAGCAATAGGGTTTAGGTTTAGGGTTTAGGGTTTAGGGTTTAGGGTTTAGGGTTTAGGGTTTAGGGTTTAGGGTTTAGGGCACAATTTGCAGAAGCAGCCACCCTGCCGTACTTCAGGCCATCCAGGCCAGCTTGGATGCCCGCGGCGTCGCGCTCAACCAGGGCTCCTTGCCAAAGACGGCGTCCTCTTCTTTGCTGCAGCCGCCGCAGGCCCACGTAAAGAGCAAAAATGGATTAAACAAATAACTAACTACATATATATATCTATATGGATAGAGAGAGAGAACAGATATAAATATATAGAGAGAGAGAGAAAATAGATATCATTGTATATACGAGTTCTTTTGGACTTCCCAGTTGAAAAATGTTCCTGCCCCTCTTGCAAAGTTGCTGCTTTAGGAGGGCGAGAAGCTCCATTTTTTTTGGAATGCGTGATGAGAGGAAACTAAGTGCGAGAGCTGGTTTAAGGGTTTAGGGTTTAGGATTTAGGGTTTAGGATTTAGGGTTTAGGGTTTAAGGTTTAGCTGGTTTAATTGAAGCTTTGAGGAACTCATGACCTATAGGGTTCTTGGCCGTTCGTGTTCAGGAGTCCCCAACACTCTCGAACCCTATGCTCAGGTACTTTCTATCTCTCATGATATATACCTGTTTTTACACACCTGCCATGAGGAAGGCTAGACACAAATATTTGCATGCGCGGGGTGTTTGCAAGCAGTTTCTGGAGACACTTTCTCTGCATCGTCGGTTTGACGACCCCCCCCCCAAGTGTACGTCGCCACATGGGGCGTATGAACGTTGGCATGACTTATGTTGTGACGTCTGACATATAGGTGCCATAGGTACTGGCACATGACCCGACACGACACATACACGACTCAAGACCCCTAATCTGACACTCGCTCTGACGTGCATCTGCTGCAAGCGCGGACACATGACCCGATACCAGCGCAGGCGCACAGCGAAGCGGAGAGCCACGGTCTTCCTCCAGCGTCGCCCGGCCGCTCAAGGCTGTCTTCGAGACTTCGGGCTGAAGGTGTTTAGGGTTTAGGGCTTCTGGAAGATTCTGGAAGTTGATATATAGTTGATATCGTAGAATTAGCATGTTCGCTGTCTACCGTTTACGGCTCAGGGTGTGCTCGTTGGACCCCAAAGGTTTTGTTGGAGCTGGGCCACTGTCTGGGTGCACGACTGCGAATAAAATGCGGAGTGCGAAGCCCTAAATCTCACAATCTTTGGAGTTTTGGGCTTTCGAGATTATATGGGGAGTTTTGGGCTGTCGAGATTATGTTTCGACCATAATGCTGCCCCGTACACCAGCGGTGGCTGAGGCTAACACAAGACAGCAGCGGGCTGCTATCGCGCGCATCGCACTTTTGCTGCATGCAGTTGGTGCACCTTCACAGGATTTGGGCACCGTTGTGGTCCGAATCTTGGAGCATAAACCATCGGATTTAGAACGCCTGCGCTTTGGATTTGACTGAGCTCCTCATACGTACAGTTTGCTGGCATAGGAATCTTGCGATTGGAGGGGGGCCCGGCAATTGATGTTAAAAGGCGCACCGAACAACATATTCTTATAACTTATATATTAATGTACCTATATGCCAATATACTGATATACTTATATACTTATATACTTATATACTTGTATACTTGTCTACTTGTATACTTGTATACTTGTATACTTATACTTACATACCCCCTCCCCGCCCAGAATTGTAAGAAGCACCCTCAGGAGCGTGGAAGAGGGCTCGGCGGGGATAGCGTCTTGGAACTCCCTGATGCAAGGCTGCGGGGCAGGGTGCAGAGGCAAATTACGGGATTTAGGGCTTAGGGTTTGGGGTTTAGGGCTTAGGGTTTAGGGTTTAGGGTTTAGGGTTTAGGGTTTAGGGTTTAGGGTTAGTCTTCCACCATGGATGGGATGACCGCCGAAAACTCCAAGCCCGACTAGACTGCCTTGGGCACATATAATTCCTGCCTTGGCGCTCTCGGCGCCAGAGCCTGTGGCCCATGAGCTCTGTGTGCAAGCGCTGAAGCAAGCTGTGAAACCCTAAACCCTAAACCCTATAAACCTTGATTTCCTAGTTGAGCCCTGCAGCCCCTGCCCGCCGATGGTTATGACGACATTGTCAGTTCTGCCCGAAGCCATCCAACAACCCCCAGCCCCAAAAACTCGTAGCAAAAAGCCTTGCTCTGGGTCAGGAGATTTCCAAAGCCACAAGAAGAAGGCCGAGACACAGAAGGGGAGGGCTTAGGATTCAGGGGCCTGGGAGTAGGGGTTGCACTCGGGTGTAGGACCGTGTAGGATGTATAGGGCTCAGGGTTTGACCAGCTTTTTGGAGCCTCTGGGTTATGGTCCTTGTGCTGTGATAAGACTGTGCATTGTACTTGGGGCCACATTGCTCTGCCCTCTTCCTTCCGTGGTTGCTTTCAGCAACTGGCTACTCCAATCTCCGGTATTTCCTACACAGAACCAGCACTGCCGTTAAACGCCGAGCGATATTGAGGAGCATTTGCTCACATATATATATATATATATATATAATATATATATATATACACGCACGCATACTTACATGCATATATACATATAGAGCATTGCAGCCCGGCAGTTGTTCCTTTGCCACAGTTGCTCCCTAAAAAGGCCGTGCTGGCCGCCAAGAATGCGAAGCTGAACACCGTGCAATCACAGAGCTTCGAGACCGAAGATGAAGTCCAACCGAGATTCTCGGCACCTGGGCTGCTTTCGGGGATTGACTGAGCCGGTGAATTCGCGTAGCCTAGGGATCGACATCCCCATGTGATAGAACTTGACTTAGCTGTCACATATGCCGGGAACTCCTCTGCACATTGCACCAGCACATAGACTCTCTCTCTCTCTCTCTCTCTCGGCATGTCAAAACACGATAACCGCGACAGATGACAACTTGACTCCTGAAGCCTTAGTGATTTAGTCAAGAAGACTCTGCGCAACGCCGAGATTCACGAGAAGAGAGCAGCTTGCTCCCTGGTGTGCATGGTGGAGTCAGCGTGGTTTACCTACTCCATCCAGGCCACCATTTTGGTCACTGGGACTGCACGGTTAAAGACCTAAGTTGCTTCAGGTGTGTGTATATATATATATATGTATTATGTATATAATTTCACATGTCGGGTTCCACCCCTGAATCAGAGATGTCGAAGACTGCATCCATATGGCCGCTTCTTAAGGTATCGCGGTTAAAGGGAACAGCGTCGGCCGCTTCATGCGTTACGTTTGCAGGCGCACCCCTTGCAGCGCGAACCCTTTCAGGAGCTGTGGAAAGCTGGATCTGCAACATACCCTAAACCCAAAACGCAAGCGCCCGGCAACCCCCGCCCCCCCCCGCCCCCCGCCCCCGCCCACCCCCAACAAAATTGGAAAGGGTAGACCCCGCGCCGCGGAGCTTCCGCAAAAGAAACGTTAAAATCCAGGTGGTGCGCTCCCCGAAGGTTCTTGTCCCTTATTGGTTGCCCACAGTCTCTGACGGGCCAAAGAAGGTGGCTAAGTAGCTTTCTACTATTTGCTTATAAGGACCCCAAAAGAATGAAAAAAATGATAATCCCTGTACTACCCCTATAAGGAAGAATATATGTATATATATATATATACATATAATTATTTTTTGGGGGGGTCTTAAGCAATTAGTAGCTTGAGGTGAACCTCATCATCCTGGGAGTGGAGGTCGACACTGCCGCGCGATTGGCGCAGCCTGGCGATGATTTCGGGGGGGATTTCGGGTGTTAGGGTTTGGGGTTTAGGGTTTGGGGTTTAGGGTTTGGGGTTTGGGGTTTAGGGTTTAGGGTTTAGGGACAAGTCTAGGTTGAGGGTTTAGGGCACCCTTTTCGTTCCTTAGAGTCCCCGGCTGGATACAAGTTCCGAAGTGTCTTTAAGCCCTAAGATGCTGTAGAAGCAGTTGTCTACCAGGGCCCGATCTGTATGATAGCAGGGTGCCCGAGAAAGAAGCCTGATTTTTGGGCCCTACCATGCAAGCCTCCGAAAAGTTGGTTTTGATAAGTAGAATATAGGAGTCGGATTAAATTCTAAGAGTACTCCCTTGTGAACGAGAATACCCCCCCCCCCAAAAAAAAAAAATATATATATATATATATATTCTAATTATTCAGGCCCCTATATTACCCATTGCAAGCAGGCCACGGGCTCGATGCTTTCGGTGGCGTCCTTTTTGACCCGTTAGAACTGCCGAGCTGAGGACGCTGAGTACGACTGCTAAGAAGTCACTTTCCAGGGTTTTAGCAGGAGTTTATGTAGGCTTTAGCCTGAAGACTTTCTAGGCTTGACACAACACACCTACTGAACAAGCAGCATGTCCTCCAAGTATCCACTTTTCATCTATAGGAGCCCTCCGCAAGAAGAGCAAGACTCTCTGAACCCCTCAAACCCCGCCCGCCAAGAGAAGAGCTGAACCCATCGACCCATCGAGGCCTTAGCTTGTAGGCTCTATGTCTCCCAGCCCCCCTTTGACCGGAAGAAAAGCTTCCCCCACACACGAAGGCCGGGGGAGGAGCCACAGGGATTCTGGGTGGCGAACGTCGTCATAGCCACTGGATGCCGAAGACTTTAGGGGGGGGGGGGGGGGGGGGGGGGGTTTAGGGATGTAGGGCTTGCACGGCTCGAGCTTCTCGTAGGCTTCGGTCTGTTGACTTGACTGCAGTCCCTTCCAGCATTGGCCACTCTTCCACTCTTGGTCTTCTACCCTGAGGTTTTACTGCTTACTGCTTACTCTATAGCACGTCGAGGTGTTCCTGCTTCTTTTGCGCAACCCAAGGTTTTAATCTTCATGGTGGAGTTGCTCCTCAAGCTCATCGTGCAGGGCGTGCGCCAGTTTTTTTGCGGCCCAGAACGATGGTGGAATCTCTTTGATATGTGGCCCTGCCGCGATTTAGTATCTCTTTTCTGGGCAAAGCTGTGCAAAGCCTAGATGTTGGACTCATAATTTGTGAGCCTTCATGCGTCTCTTGGTAGAGAATCTTGCCAGACCGGCCACGATGCAGCAGAACTTGTCTGCACCAGCAGTTCGCAGGGTCGATTTGGTTAGAGGGACAGCATTTTCTGCCTGTTAATGTAGTTGGTATTATGGTCGTTTAGGGGTCATTGGCGACATGGGGAACGATAGGGGGGTTTCTGATAATCAGGGCCCACCCAAGAAGTCACCCCACATGTCGGAAACTCTCCGGTATTGGCAAAGATTTCCACTGACATTTACACACCCTAAACCCTAAACCCTAAACCCTAAACCCTAAATCCTAAACCCTGTATTGCGCCGATTTTTGCAAGTTCCTTCTTGGAGCACAGGCTGATCGTGGGCTTGTCCCTATTGGAGACTCTCATTGAGATCCTGGCTTCGATGATGGCAGCCTCTGGGACCCTAAGGTTAAGGTAGCTTCAGGGTGGAATGGCCCGATGCTCGCTTTAAGCACTGCAATAGCAACGAAAGAATAAGCGCCGTTGATAACCCAAGGCGCCCTTGAACCCAGGAGTAAGCCGCCTCTGCTTCAGGTCCTGGGATGCGTCTAGACCCACACTCGTTTCGGTCACCTCATGGCCAGCAAGTCCGCTAATGGGCTGGGGAGGGACACAGCATGTTTGCGGGTGCTTCTCTGTTGCTCAATTCATACGCCTTGCCAAGGAACTGCAATTGAGCTACCATCACAAGGAAACCACCTGGATTGCCTCATATCCCTACTGGCGAGTCCTTGAAAGGCCGCTTATAAGCCCTATCTAAACCCTAAACCCTAAACCCTAAACCCTAAACCCTAAACCCCAAACCCTAAACCCTAAACCCAGGTTTCCCAAATGGATTCCAGCCACCTGCGGGTCATGCGCTTTGCGCGCCTGGCCCGCGCGTTGCGTGGGGTCCGGGTGCCGTGGCGCTAAAGAAGTGGTGTGTGGTTTAGGGTTTAGGGTTTAGGGTTTAGGGTTTTCGCTTTTGGCCTTGAACGAGGGTCTACAAGACATACATACTAAAT